AATGACGTGGATAGAGTAAAGCTTTCGGGACCTCCATTTGCTGATGGGGCATGACTCAAAATGGGAAGAAACAGCTGCAAACATCCATTAATAATCAGAACATGGAGTGTATGAAGTATGAATCTAGGAAAATTGGAAATTGTCAAAAATGAAATGGAATGCATAAAGATTGATATCCTAGGCATTAGTGAGCTGAAATGGACTGATTTGGGCCAGTTTGAATCAGACAACCATATGATCTTCTATGCTGGGAATGATATGTTGAAGAGGAATGGCATGGCATTCATTGTCACAAGGAATGGTTCAAGATCAATCCTGAAGTACAATGCTGTCAGTGATGGGATAATATCCCTATGCCTACAAGGAACACATGTTAATGCTACTGTTGTTCACATTTACGCCAGTAACCACCAAAGCCAAAGACAAGGAAGTTGAAGATTTTCACCAACTTGTGCAGTCTGAAATTGACCAAATATGCAATCAAGATGTGTTGATGATCACTGGTGACTGAAATGCAAAAGTTGGAAACAAAGAAGAGTCACCAGTAGTTGGAAAATTTGGCCTTGATGATAGAAATAACTCTAGAGACTACATGAAAGAATTTTGCAAGACCAACAACTTATTCATTGCAAATACCTTACAAATAACAATGTAAATGGAGGCTATACACATGGGCTGCCCCAGATGGAGTACACGGGAATCAAATTGACTACATCTGTGGGAAGAGGCAATGGAGAAGCTCAATATCTTCAGCCAAAATAAGGCCAGGAGCTGACTGTAGAACAGACCATCAACTGATCATATGCAAGTTCAAGTTGAAGCTGAAGACAATTTAAACAAGTCCGCAAGAGGAAAAATGTGACTTTGAATATATTCCACCTGAATATAGAGACCATCTAAAGAACAGATTTAGTGCATTGAACACCAGTGACCAAAAACCAGAGGAATTGTGGGATGACATCAAGAACATCATCCATGAAGAAAGCAAAAGGTCATTAAAAGAAAAGGAAGAAAAGACCAAAATGGATGTCAGAATTGACTCTGAAACTTATTCTTGAAGGAGAGTAGCTAAAGCAAATGGAAGAAATGGCAAGATAAAAGAGCTGAACAGAAGATTTCAAAGAGCAGCTTGAAAAGACAAGGTCAGTTAGTATAATGAGATGCCAAAAGTTGGAGTTAGAAAACCAAAAGGGAAGAACACGCTTGGCATTTCTAAGCTGAAAGAACTGAGGAAAAATTAAAGCTTTGCGTTGCAGTATCGAGAGATTCTAAGGGCAAAATATTGAAGGATGCAGGAAGACATCACAAGAAGATGAAGGAATACACAGAGTCACCGTACCAAAAAGAACTGGTCGATCTTCATCCATTTCAGGAAGTGGCGTGTGATCAGGAACCAATGGCACTGAAGGAAGAAGTTGAAGCTGCACTGAAGGAATTGGCAAAGAACAAGGCTCCAGGAGTTGATGGAATACCCATTGAGATGTTTCAACAAATGGATGCCATGTTGGAGGCACTCATTCGGTTATGCCAAGAGATTTGGAAGACAGCTACCTGGCCAACTGACTGGAAGAGCCATAGTTGTACCCATTCCAAAGAGAGGTGATCCCACAGAATATAGAAATTATTAAATAATATCATTGATACTGCATGCAAGTAAAATCTTGCTGAAGATAGTTAAAAAATGATTGCAGCAGCATATTGACAGCTTCCAGAAATGCAAGCTGGATTCAGAAGAGAGCGTGGCATGAGGGATATCATTGCTGATGGCAGATGGATCTTGGTTGAAAGCAGAGAATACCAGAAAGATGCTTACTTCTGTTTTATTGACTATGCAAAAGCACTTGATTGTGTGGATGATAACAAATTATGGATAACATTGAGAAGAATGGGAATTCCAGAACAAGGGGATACCACATGTTTTAAAATCAAGAAGGGAGTGCATCAGGGTTGTATCCTTTCACCGTACTTAATCAGTCTGTATGGTGAACACATAATCTGAGAAGCTGGACAGTATGAAGAAGGGTGTGACATCAGGATTGGAGGAAGACCCATTAATAACCTGAGATACGCACACAACACAAGTTTGCTTGCTGAAAGTGAGGATGACTTGAAGCACTTACTGATGAATTTTAAAGAGTTCAGCTTGAGTATGGATTACATCTTTATGTAAAGAAAACAAAAATTCTTACGTCTGGACCAATAAGCAGCATCACAATAAATGGAGAAAAGATTGAAGTTGTTAAACATTTCGTATTACATGGTTCCACAATCAGCACCAATGGAAGCAGCAGTCAAGACATCAGACAATGTATCACACTGGGCAAATCTGCTGCAAAAGACCTCTTTCAAGTGCTGAAGGGCAAAGATGTCTCCTTAAAGACTAAGGTGCACCTAACCCAAGCTATGGGAGCTCTGGTGGCGTAGTCCCTAAGGCATTTGACTGCTAACCAAAGGGCTGGCGGTTCAAACCCACCAGCCACTTCTTGGAAGGAAGGTTGAGCAACCTACTTCTGTAGAAATACTGCCTTGGAAACCCAAGGAGCGGTCGCTATTGGTTGGATCCAACTTGACGGCAGTGTGAACCCAAGCCGTGGTGTTTTCAGTCACCTCCTATGCACATGAGAGCTGGACAGTGAATAAGGAAGACCGAGGAAGAGTTGATGCTTTTGAGTTGTGGTGCTGGCGAAGAATGCTGAAAGTACCGTGGACTGCTAAAAGATCTAACAGATCTGTCCTGGAGGAAGTACAGCCAGAATGCTCCTTGGAAGCGAGAATGGCCAGACTTTGTCTCACCTACTCTGGTCATGTTGTAGGAAGGGACCATTGCCTGGAGAAGGATGTCATGGTTGGTAGGGTGGAGGGTCAGCGAATGAGGGGAAGGCCCTCAGAGGGATGGACTGACACGGTGGCTGCAGCGACGGGCTGAGGTGTAGCCAGGACGGCGAGCCTGCCCCAGGACTGGGCGGGGTTTCCTTCGGTTGTGCGTCAGGTTGCTGTGAGTCAGAGTGGGCTCAGCAGCACTGACAGCAACAACAATCATGAGAGGAGCCCTGAAGACACAGGGGCTAAGCACTTGCCTGCTAACCTAAAGGTCAGTGGTTCAAACCCACAGGCCACTGCTCGGGAGAAAAGCCAGTCTGCTTCCTTAAAGATTTGCAGACTTGGAAATCCTATGGGGCAGTTCGACCTCCCGAGAGTTGGTGCTATTGGGTCGTAATCAGTCAGAATCAACTCAGTGGCAATGGATTTGGTTTCTTGGATTAATCATGCCTTGCTGCTAATCAACCTGGTCACTTATGAAGAGCATCAAGCTTGTAGACTCAAGAAACTAAATACAGTTGGCCTTAGAACTGTACCTTGTTGTTTTTTAATAGAAATCAAACAGGAGTTTGAATAACTGGCATGTGCTAGCCTTGGATATTTTGAGGGTCTGCTACTACTCCCTGCCATATTAGATTCATGATCTATTTTTTCTCAATCGTGGGTGATATGTTGAGGAGTCTTGGTAGTACAAATGGTTAAACACTCAGCTGCTTTCCAAAAGGTTGGTGGTTCTGACCCCACCCAGTGGTTCTGCAGGAGAAAGACCTGGCAATTCGTTCCCATAAAGATGACAGCCTGAGAAACCCTATGGGCAGGTGTGCTCTGTGACCTTGGGTCACTGTGAGTCAGAATTGACTCAATGGCACCCAACAACAGACTGATAGGTTACTTACTACTATTGTCATCCGTATTATTTTACTTTCAAACAGCACAGTTAATCTAAGTTCCGTGGGGATAGGGACGGTGTTTGTTTTGATTTTGTTGTTTTTTCATTAATATTGCATACAAGTAAAATCTTGCTGAAGATAATTCAAAAGTGGTTACAGCAGTATATTGACAAAGAGCTTCCAGAAATGCAAGCTGGATACAGAGGAGGACGTGGAATGAGGGTTATCATTGCTGATGTCAGATGGATCTTGGCTGAAAGCAAAGAATTAAATCTTATTCTTTAGATCAAGCTGGGACATCTTGTGGTTGCAGTGACTGTTGCTCTTTTGGATAAGACTTGAATTTTCCCATTCCTGAATCTTCTTTGACCTAAAAATACATTCTTCAATGACCATGAACCTAAAACTATAAAAGAAACAACAGAAGTTGTTTAGAAGTCTATGTAGGTCTAAGGAGCTCTGGTGGTGTAGTGGTTAAGGTGTTTTGCTGCTAAGCGAAAGGTTGGTAGCTCGAACCTACCAGCTGCTCTTCAACTGTCTGCTTCCATACAGTTTGGAAACCCAATGAGGGTCGCTGTGAATTGTGTTTGACTTCATGGCAGTAAGTTTGGATGTGTTGTTGTTGTTGTTTATATGTAAGTCTATTCCTTGGCATTATTTGGCGTCTAAATCTAGAAACCCTTTGCTGTCACTTTCAGAAGCCACTGCCCGACTGTGTTCTTTCTCTTACGCTCGCAGTTTGAGATTTCAAGCCCACAGAGTCTGGATGGAAGCGTGGTAGAAATGACAGTGCTTGAGGAAACGGAGCTTCCCTCAGGCTCGATTTAAGAGCTAGGCCATTTGAGAGAGTCTAAAGACTCTTCACCTGCTTCATAGCCTGGAGATGATGTTGAACACCTCATAGTCTAAGAGAAAAAAGAAAAAAAAATCACTGCTGTGGAGTCAGATCCAACTCATAGCGACCCCTCCTTGAGTTTTTGAGGTGGTATCACTACGGAAGTAGATTGCCTAGTCTTCCTTCCGAGGAGTGGCTGGTGGGTTTGAAGCACTAGCCTTCTGGTTAGTAGTGAAATGCTTTAGGCACTGTGTCACCAGAGCTCCTAGAGGAAAGGCGAAAATTGTATTCTACCAAATCCCAAACATTGGATATTTCCAGAATGGCAGCCATGATACGTCAGCGGATTCAAAGCCCCACACTGCTCGCACTCTGACGTACCTCGATGTTCGCAGCCTCCACTACAGTGACTTCTCTCCCCATCATGTGATGAATAACTTATGTTTTCTTCCCAGATTCCCTGCCGTGAAGAAGAAATTTATGGCCGAGCTGAAGGAATTGCGGCAGAAAGAGCAGAGCCCGGTCGTGGTCCAGAGCATCATCAGCTTGATAATGGGCATGAAGTTCTTTCGAATCAAGATGTACCCAGTGGAGGATTTTGAGGCCTCGCTCCAGTTCATGCAGGTAACGTCCTGGGCGAGAGCCGAGGGACCAGCACCTTGGCCGTGTCCTCCTTCAGAAAGACTCACCTGGAGTGTGCTCTCTCAGCATGGGAAAGAACGCCCAGATCTTAGAGTTAGAGACAAATAACTGTATTTCACAGCTTTTGTCTCATCTTTGACATAGAGTGTACCGTGGGGTTTGTTATTTTTGACTTTTTTTTTTTTTTTTTTACCTATGGACTGCATAAGGTTAAAGCATTGGGCTGCTAACCAAAAGGTCGGCCGTTCAAATTCTGTAGTGTTCTATGGGAGAAAGAAGAAGCAGTCTACTTCTTTAAAGATTACGGCTTTGAAAACCCAATGGACAGTTGTATCGCATTGGAATTGGCTTGATTGTGGTGGGTTTGCTTTTTTGGGGGGTTTGCTACATATTGTTTTTGGAATAAAATTTAGTTGTTTTTTTTTTTTTGCTTTTTAGCATTGATAGCATGGGATTGGCTTTATTAAGGTTCACAGGCACGAGAACTTTAATTGTTGTTGTTATGTGTTGTCGAGTCGGACCCTACTCATAGTGACCCCTCCTTGGGTTGCCGAGGCAGTATTACTAAGGAAGTAGATTGCCCAACCTTAGTGGATTTAAACCACCAGCCTTCTGGTTAGCAGTCAAGTGCCTTAGGCACTACACTACCAGAGCTCCCAGAACTTTAATTAGATACTATAAAAAGGAATAGTATATTTTAAAAAATCAATCCACCCGTGCAGGTTTAGATATTGATTGCACAGTTAATCCCTTTGTGCTAATGGAAGAACTGGTGCTAATGAGCGTGGAGTACAACACACCAGTTTATGAAACCAAACCAAACCAAACCACACACATTGCCAAGGAGTCGGTCCGACTAACAGCAACCCCTCCTTGGGTTTCTGAGATGATAAATCTTTATGGAAGTAGATTGCCCAGTCTTCCTTCCGAGGAGTGGCTGATGGGTTTGAACCACCAGTCTTCTGGTTAGCAGTCAAGTGCCTTAGGCACTACGCCAGCAGAGCTCTTCACCACTCTATTAGAATTAACAGAAGTTTAGGTTTGGGAGGGATTTTTCTAACACTGCTGTGAATTCAATTTGGTGAAGATCTTAATCAACAAAAAACCTTAGGGATGGAGGTTCCATAAAGATGACAGCCTAGGAAGCCCTACAAGGCAGTTCTCCTCTGTCACATGGAGTCAGTAGGAGTCAGAATCAACTCAATGGCAGTGAATTGCTTTGGTTTTGGTATTGCAGTAGGGAAGGAGCCCTGCCGGCCCATTGATTAAGAGTTTGGCTGCTAACAATGTCAGTGGTTCAAACACCAGCCACTCGGCAGGAGAAAGATGAGGCAGCCTGCTTCCACACAGATTGCCAGCCTCAGAAACCCTGTGGGGCAGTTCCACTCTGTCCTCTAGGGGCGCTGTGGGTCAGAATCGACTCCACAGCAGTGGGTGTGGTTTGGGCTTTGCTTCTGTGAAGATTGACAGCCTAGGACACCCTGTGGGGCAGTTCCACTCTGTCCTCTAG